TGAATCAATCCAATCTGCCCTGTAAATAGGGACTGGGTATGAGTCTGCCAACTGACATACTTGGTTTTCTCTATCATCTTACTTTGAGTGAAAGTTATTTTTCCATGCGAGACATCTGACCACAATTCTAGTTAAATACTTTCTATCAAAACTTTATCTACAATAGTAATCGAGAACGTCTGTAGAAGGTAACCATGCATGTAGATAGTTCTTGCATCTCTTTTGGAGTCGAGAAACTCTTGCATTTATCCCAAGCGTTGTTTCACACAAGTTTCGGTGATCTTAATGGGATAGCTATCAGCATGCGACGAAGGCTAAAGCAACCTAAAGCAACCTTTGAAGTGATTCTTGCGTTTTTGGGAATTCCTGGTAAGGTGATTTGACTCGATAACGTGGTGACTTTTTTGAATCGATTTAACCTTTGCCTTTGCTAGCGTGGTTATCTTTAAGATCTTTTTTGTTCTTTTTCAAGCACAACTTGTTCGCCAGGATTCGCTTGTCCCTGTTCTTGGTAACTGAAAATGAAAACAGATAATGAATACACGGACAAATAAATGCCGCAAAACTAAAGCATGGTTATCTCATCGGACCAATCACAACAGGCAGAAATATATAATGGAATGAGCCAATCAGAACTGGAAGAAAAAAAACCGTGCCAAGCATGTGTAAAGCGCGGGAAAACTTGGGACCGACGCCAAACGAGAGGAAACGTGAGTGGGAAATCATGACACCTATGTCAAACACGGGAAAAAGTAACTAGTGTATAGTGCGAAGGAAACACGAGACCGCCCAGCAAAATGTAGCTAGTGTACAGCGCGGGAAAACATGAGACCGATGCCAAGTGTGGGAAAACCCGCAAAAAGCAGCATGCCTGTTTCGATTGGTTAAAACCAATAACCAATTAGGGAGCTAAGAAAAGAGTTCAACGCTTTGATTTTTCTAACTTACAGACGAAAATTCTAAAAAGCTTTCAGAAGTAGCCGTTTACCTGATCTGCAGACCCCGTCCGCTTTCTCTCCCCAAGCTGTACCCAGTCCTCTTTGTCGTCTGACTGAGGGAGGCCTGTACTCGAATTCCATCTTTCGCGTTGGCTTGGTAACCAGCTTAAGAGCCATAACTTGAGTGGAAATACGAGTTTAGGATCTACGCCTGCTTTCTTTTCGTCTTCGGTTTCTGTTGAGAGAAACTTAAAACTCAAGGTGCCATCCACAGAATTATATTTTCAAAAATTTGCTCATGTTTCTGGGATAACACGACATCAGACTACATCATAATGCCATGGTATTAATCCCAATATTTCACTCCTCCTTTGATATCAATTTGCCATGCCAACATCATGGTATCACTCACCTAGCAACAGACTTGTCAATGTGCCTATCACCATGGTGACTGCCCAACCAATAGCGCAGTACCACAAATACGACGTACTGTAGAATGTGGCCAGTGGATTACTGTAAGAAACGTGGCATAATATCGCGTTAAAAAACGCGTTAACGCGTTAAACGTTAAAAAAAAGTAAGTCAATAACTGAATTATTCACCTCAGTTTAAGCTCAAATATTTTGACTTACACATGATGATGCGTGATGGGATAATGTATTCCAGTGTCGTTGTTCATAGCTGCCTGGGTCTTGTTGAATACGTCAGAGGAGCACCCTGAAATGCACACAGGGCCCCGGTAATCATTTGGCGGGTAGAGCTGGGCACCAGTGAAAAGCCACACTGTCATAGCCAGACCGCTGGCTACTCCAAGGTATGCGCCCTATAGGGGGAGTGAAAATTGTCAATGTTTTAATGATTAAAAAATATTTATGCCAGTAGTTTTCAAAAGACTACAAAAGTAAAAATGACCTTTAAGGCATGTATAATGTATAGTATAACAATCCAGGTGCGGACCTAGGATAAACGGCGACCGATTTCCGAAACAATGAGCGTCGAAGTTGCAAGCTTCTAGAGGGGTCCGAGGCCGTGGTCCGCAGTATCAGTTTTGGATTTAAACTCCCTAAAGTCCCCTTTCCTGGGTTTCTGAGTCATTATGCAAAATCTGACCGATAATGCCGTAAAACGGTGGAAACCGGTATGGATCCCGGCATGCGATCATGATTCATAGCGGAGGCATGCAGCCCATGAGAGCTTCGTTCCCCTACCGAGCAAGTCAGAGCATTCTGACCGCGCGTAAATTAGGGTGAGAGCAAAAGAAATCGGAGTGGGGCTGGTATAGTTTTCGCACATGATTGACCGGCTGAAAACATTTCTTTATTATGATTAGCAGAGATACGTGACGAGACTGGAAAGTTAAGGTATAAAAAGCATTTTCAGAAAAAAAAAAATTAATAGATATTCACCTTGCTGTTAGCTCGTGGAATCAGCAGCCCAAGCATGAAGATGCCGAGTAACGGACCGCCCGTAACATACAGCAAACCAGAGAACACCTAAAAAAAAAATATATAAACAGTGACGATGGAGACGTGCTTTTAAATGAGAAGTACTTACGTAGACAAACATAGACTGAATGACTGTGAGGCGGTGGGAGGCTCATTTTCGTCTGCAGAGCCTTTTGTACTTTTTTTCAGCGGTGTATCGTCTAATAGGAGCTCTGGTTAACGAGAATGATGTGAATGATATACCCAGTCCTCGTTCTCAGGCCTCCCTTGTCGCTGAGGGAGGCAAAGGAGAGAGAACCTTGGAACGAGGTTGGATGTACCCAATATCAGCGTCTCCTCTAACTTGTGGTCGCGGACTAAGGGTAACGTGGGGTCTGAGAGCAAGACCTCTTTACAAATCAACTGAACATCCATAAAAGGAACCTTGACTCACCTGCAATACTACGTCACCCGCCTGATGAAGAGCGACCGCGCCTCCGATCACCACACAGCCTATTAACACAGCTGGAAGACATACATTAAGAAAGTGAGTTTACAGATTAACATCACGACTTCTTTCACGCTAGAAACACGACTTCAGTGTAACAATAACGAAACAATAACTAACTTAACAGTTTGCAGCTTTTCGCGGAATCGAAGTCATCCATCTTTCGTGACATCTTCTTGAGAAAATCTTCTAAAATGACCAGGCACAGAGAGTTCAGTCCGGATGAAATGAAGCTGCGAAACAAAGATCTTGATTGGTCAGAAGCTTTGGAAATGTTAGGAAGAAAATTAAGTTAAAGTAACAGTTTTAAAACAAAGAGAATTTAATCCTCTATAACGCTGTTTGAACTTAGTTTGAATTTCATGCCTCCCAAACTAGTTTGGCAAGCCGACATGTCTAAAACGGTAAAAATCAGTTAACTCTTACGTAATAAGAGCTACGCTCTTGGAAAACTGTTCGCTTCTCGGAACAGATAATGTCCGCGGACAAATATCCGAGCACATTTTCGTGCCAAATGGAGACTAATGATCATTTTATTTATTTATTTTTTTATCACAATCTATGGTAAAAAGGCCAAAGGATAATCTGTAAGGGAGTCCTAAACCCCATATAAAAACAGATCACCTATGAACTAATATAAATACACAAAAAAAATAATAAATTTGAAGAATACATTATGATATGAAAGGAAAAAAAGTACTAAATACTTAAAAATCACTGCCATTAAGTTTATTTATACGATACCTCAATGATCCGGCAAATATGCAGGCGCTCATGAATCCCGGCATCCCTTTCAGGTGATGAAGTTTATCTGTGACGTAATACAGCAGCACCTGACCGTTGCGTTGAATTTCTCCCGCTGTCAGGGGATCGCAGTTGGCGTACACAGCGTACATGACGAGACCGTTCACACACGCTAAGCCAGTCATAACTATCAACACTGGTACACTTATCCATACAGCCCTGAGGGGTTAAATCAGTTATACAGTTACATTCACGAGTGGTGTGAGAACTGTTTTGTCTTAAGTGTCGTAGAACTAAACTAAGGTAACCGCAAAGCCAAACACTTAATGTCAGATTGTATAGTCAACCAGTTACAGCTTGGAGCTGAAGATGTTTCTGTCGCGAAGCGCGAGAAAAATTTAAACTTGTGACAAGAGCCGGGAAATGTGTAACTGGTGAGAAGCGAGGGTAAACATCGGCCGGTGGCAAGCGCAGGAAAACACGTAGCCAGTAAATCTAAGGCTGGAAGAACATGGAAATCCCCGCTTTGGCCAGTGCGCGAAAAAAACGTAGGGGCCAGAAAGGGCGGGAAAATCTGTAACCACCGGCAAGCGCGGAAAAACATTAACGGTGACAAGCGTGAAATGAGGAGGGCTCACGATTTTTTCCCTTCTTTGTTTCAATCAGAGGATTTTCCGAGAGCTCACCTTCTAGCCAGGTTGACATACTTGATGGAGATATACCGCTGGACAGCTGTCTGGCTGACCGTCCACACAGGCATGGTCGTTATGGCTCCTCCGATGGAAAGAGTCCAGAAGGTGTCCCGGACTGTGGGATTCGGATTGAAGCTATGAAAGGGGATACACAAGGTATGTAGTCAAAAAATTATTCAGCAACAAGGAATTAAAATCTTCTCATTACTCACTTGAACACTGTCATCCGCTCTCGTTTTTTATTCACTTCAATCACTTGTCCAAAGCCCCCTGCGGTGTCGATACCCATAATGCACAGCGTGATGAGTCCCGTCAGCATGAGAATGAGGTGAAATGCGTTAGTCCATACGACAGCCTTAAGACCTCCCTGTCATTAAAAATAAACAACAGAAAATCAGCAAGTGCAAGCGAACAAAACTGTTATCAATTACACCCGAGAAAGGACAGGAAAAATGCAAGAAGAGACTTAAATGTGAACGTGATTCGAATCTATTCGCACCAGTCCCTTACTATGCCAGTATAAATAAGAGCATCTCATTTCAGCCCAATTCGTGTAAGAATCCTATGGCTGTTAGCAGCGTCAACATGTTGTCTCTCTTTCTCGCTTGCTCCTAAACGCTAACGCGCTTCTCATTTCTTCTTCCTCCATTTCCCTATCCTTTCACACTTCCAACTCGCTCCAGCTAGCGCGGTAACATTTCTCGATCTCTTATTCTGCGAGTGTGAAAGGGACTCTAGCGACTAGTATGCTTCTATTTCCTTGAGGATAAATAAATGATTGATTGATTGGATCCTGTGCTATCTTTGCTATTGAGCCAAAAGGCCACTGGGAGTTGGTTTTATAATTGTTAGTCATATTTGATTAATACGAAGAACAGTCGGTTTCCACAGCTAATTCGCCAGGTTAACGAAAAGTTTGCCCTGTATCCTGCATGTGATCAGTCGCGTTACCATCACGTGTTCTTGGCCAGATTTAGAAAAATAAATCAAGCGTGTCTATAGCCACGCGTCTAATAAAGCCGGAACTGTATAAATAGCTAAATGATGACTTTGTATTCGATCGTGGCTGGCTTATTCCTCAGACTGTCTGTAACGCGACTGCATGAGTTTAAGAAAAAAAATAACACAGAGAAGATTAGTTGGTCTTATCTGGCTTATGGTGTCTGATCACATCGATCTTAGCCTATAGTCTAGACGTTTTCTTATGCATACATCAAATAAACTTTTGTTTTAAGTGGATGTGAAAAACACACTACGAAAGAAAGGTTAGACAAACTTACCAGCGCGGCGTAAAGAGTACAGACGATTCCAGTGGATACAATACCGACTGCTAAAGGAACACCAGCAACTAATGATGGAGAGAGGAAGAACAACAGTTCAATAAATCATGAGACGACATCATCGCAGGTCACTAATTGCTGAATAAGCCACGCGTTTGTTTTCGTTAGCCGCAAATCGCATTTGTGGGTTTTTTTTTTAAGTTTTTCTTTATGTTTTTTTTTTTTAACTTGTCATCAGAAACCAAAAAACTGGCCAAGGTCAATAAATGTTAAGGTTATTATAGCTCTTTTTACACGAAGTATTTCCCAAGTCTAAATTATAAAGAAATCGTGTATTGACAAATTTGCCTTAAATCTTACACCCAGTTGGTATCTTACCTGTATTAATGGCATGTGATGGGATGTAAAGGACGAGGCATAGGTAAAGAATCTAAGCAAAACAAAACAAAAGAAATTCAAGATATCAATACGTGCTCTTTCAAGTATCAAGAACTGCGCGTATTTCGCCTTTTTCCGATTGTCGAAGTTATCGTCCGTCCTTAGTGAAACAAATCGCAATTCGTGCGAAATATTTCCCGCTTGGCTTTACCCGTGCAGATTAGTCTCGTCAGAGAATGAAAAAGGTTTTGTCACAAAACAAATAAAAACTCACACAGCAATACTTACATAAGTTACAGTGAAGAGGAGTGATCCAATGTATCGGACGCCGACGGAAAACCTCGCCTCCAGATACTGAAGAGAAGAAACAAACGTTTACAGTTATGTTTTCTAGTTTGTTCATATACCTGTGATTTTAGTATTTTGCTCCCGAGTTTCCTTTGGATGAAGCGACACGGAGAATAACCACCCCCCCTGACCCCCGTGGATGGGATGCTAGTCCATCGCAGGGTTCCCCCCCCCCCCAAACTTTTGCAGACGGCCTCCGATAACAATTTAGTAGAGCCTTTAAACATCTTTAGAGTAAAGTGTCTTGCCAACAAGGAAACAACAAGGAAAACGGGTTGTTGCCGCTAGAAGCATTGTCAGCAAATAATTTTACCACGCCTCTCACAACGTGAAACTGAGGGACATTGCGGGATAAAGTTCAGTCTGGATTTATAAAAATCAACAACCACTTTATAACTGCAAAGTAAGCATGGCGGAAATTGTCTGGCTACACCCTCAATACAGCAGGAAATGATGTTTTTAAGTGCTTAATATAGCTGATAATGATGCAATTGGAAGGGAAAGTAACAGACATGATTAGAAGACAAAAGAAATGAAATAATTAGGTATTTGGTACAACGTGTATTTGATAAAGTACGCTGAACAGCTCGAGTATCGTTCTGTTATCGAATTGAAACTTCTGAACGTGTTAGCCCTAATAAAAATGATTGGGTAGCATTTTATTCCAACCTTGTTCAATGTTTACTCTGATTCCGGCTTCTTGATTAAATTTCTTTTTTTTTCTTTGCGGTCGTCTTTAGCATTGCCTAGGTTTGCATTCAATTTGGGGACTTATTCGTTTGTGACCTTCACCCAAATATTGTGAATATCCACACGTGCAGCGAACCACGGCGCTTAGAAGAGGTATTTGCGCAATAAAAGAAGTTGCGCAATAAAAGAAGGAAGTTATTAAAAAAACATTTATGGTGAAACTCTAGTTTCGATAGGTATCCTCCTACGAAGATATCCTTTTGGTCTTGGTCACGCAATCTTTCCTCCCACAAAAACCGGTTCTGCTCACGAGCCAAAGAGTTTTTGCCTCGGGGGCTTGTTAGAATTCCTCTTCTGCGGAATTTAACTCCATAAAAGGGTGAAAAATAAAACGTGCGTATATGTTAGAAGGTAGTAATAACATATTTTTTTCAAGATTCCTCTCTTAACACTCCACAAACAAAGCCACATGCTTCCAATGATGAGATAAGGGATGAGCCCAAATCAAAAATATCGGAGGCCCGATACCGAGCATAAGAGGTAATCTGTTATGACAGTCTGAAGATTGTAGATAAACAATTTTGACTTTTGTATGAGTCATTGAATCGTTAGCTTATTTATTATAGACACAATTATGCATAAGTCACAGTTGAACCCTACTATCTCGAACTCTCAAGGGAAACACACACACACACACACACACACACACACACACACACACACACACACACACACACACACACAAATAGTTCCAGATAAAGAGGAATCGAGATGGCCGGTAGCAACAGCTTTAAAACGCGTTATCATGCGGATATGATTTATTGAGCTCGAGATAACGGGCAGTTCAAGATAACCAAGTTCAAGATGAAGACGTTCGACAATGCACATAAATAAACTTTCTTTTGGTATAGAATACTGGACAACATTCTCCAAAAAAAGAACAGAAAGAAAGAAAACGAAACTACAGTTCATGCTAACAAAAGCATGATATTCGATTGATGTAAAAATTTAGAAAGTGGTCAGAAAGAGAAACTGTCTTGTTTTCGCATTCTTCGCAGCATACTGCAAGAATTGCTGAAGCATTCTTAGCTTACTCTTTCTTCGAGTGCTTTTCGATTCATGCCTGAAGAAAGACTTGCAAAGAGCTCAAGTTTTCAATCATTAACAGAAACGAGACATCAGGGATGCGTAAAAATATTGAAGATCCGATACCAGGATTCATTATAAAAGAGGTAAAAAACGTTCTCTGGTAAAATTGTTTAAAGTTGTGAGCTTTCAACAGCCAGTCTGCTGTCTTCGACGGACAAAAATGAAATGATAAAATAGACCTAAACGTTTTTGAATACAACAAGCGAATGGCATATATTAAATAGAATACGTGTGAAAGAATGTGAGAATGCCAAAAGTGTAAAATTAGTGTTTGTTTAAAAGAATGTTATATTGTCCCGCCAGAGGGCACGAATTGTCGTCGGCCTCGACCGTTTTCGCTGTGTGCCAGGATTCCAGCGTCTTTCTAATGCGGCTGTTGCCTTTGTCAATTATCTCCGCATTAGGGATGCGAGTGCAAAAAAAAAAAAAAAATATCACTCCACCTGGTGTCACGATGCAAACACATGCTCACATTTTACATGAGCACGTGAAAAGGATGACCGAACTTTGGGTTCATCAGTTTCGTTATCGAAAGCAAGTCTGCAGTGTACGTGGGCAATAATTTCTGAAATTTCCAATATTCGTCACTGGGTAACGTTTTTTTTTTTCAACCATGAGCACGTGACCACCAATCGACCAATAAAGGCACGCGCTGGATTCAACCTTTTAAAACATCTGATATGTAGAAGGCACATGTCAACCTTATGACATTGGACATGACAACTGTAATTTTGCGAACAGTGCATATTTCTTTGCTCGGAAACTAATGTTTTTGTTTTCGTTTTAAGCTAGAAAAGATGCTTACATTTAGACCAAACAAAGAAAATTTCGGGTTAAGTTCCCTGACTGTAGTCATGAAATTTTCTAAGAGCTCGGCACTAGCATTAAAGGACGTGTTGTTATTAATCAAGTCTAAACAAAAAAATTTAGACGAAACACAATAAAGAAAAACGCAACTTACCTCGTTTACTGAAGTAATCTTTACTCGATGGAACATGGGAATAAAGATAACATGTGCAATAGCTGCCACAATCCAGTAGGAGAACAACGCAAAAATAATATACTGTACACCATATGTGAACACTTCAGCAGTCGCGCCGAGCAAGAGAACCGATGAGAAATAACTAGCTACAAGTGACAGCGCTATCAGCCAGCTCCTCTGGTTCTTATCAGCCAGGAGAAATTCGGTTGTGGTTTTCTGTCTTCCTCCTTGGCAGGCAAAATAGAATCCAGCGGTGATTGGAATTAAAAGAGAGAGAACGAAGACCGCGTAATCCTCGGTGAACTTCATGGCTGGATTCCAGGGTCAGATTGAAAAATCAATATACTGAATGCAGATAACAGAACGTCTTACTTGTTTATCCTAACGAATACAAGACCAACGTAAGTGTTTTGACCTTGGTATTCACCAGTACGTAGCCTGCTTTTAAAAAGCGATGTGCTACGGAAAATTATTGCATGGTCGGTTGATCCGTACAGCTTGAAAACTGGAAAAACGTGAAGTAACAGCGGAGTCCTTTGTAAGTGACTAAGCGCACATCCGACAGTTACATAACTTGAAATTAATAGAACTGCCCGCGGGTAAAACACCGGAATATAACACAGAGCTGTGGTCTGTGGACTGCAAATATTCTAGAACAATAGCTATTAGCCTGCCAAAACTTAACTGTAGACACACAACGTTGTTAACACGATGCCCTTTGTGTGCCCGTCAAAGCCTTACTCATTAGTTGATTGTTTCGTGATCTTTTGACGTGTCGATTGTTGCGTTTGGAATGAATAGACTACAGCTCTGGCTTGTGGCCAGCATTGATATTTCAGACGTTCCAAAATAAATACCTCACGCCCTCACTGGCGCCAGATGTGATACATAGCGCCTTTTTGTCATTTGACAAGCACGCGATATTAACATGTCACGTCACTCACTTTCTAGTATTTTCAATTTCAGGAATCAGTGTTACCAGAAAACAAGAGAAATAGAAAGAAATATTTTGGCAAAATTGCTTTAACGAATTTTTCTCTTTACCTTGTTGAGTTGACAGTAGAGTTGATAAGCTCGATCACTCTAATGACTCTGTCGAAAACCCTTCTCTCTAGCTCGATAGAAGTAATAATGATTCCTGCTTTCGATGCATATCTTAATTGCCTCAAAAGTGAAACTTGTTGGAGCACTTTCTAAATATATACAAATTTTTCTTATGCTGAGGTCATCGCCCTGCCTTCATTCTAGTAGGTTACTTTCTACTGTTGCCTGCGTCAGTTCCTGACAAGCGGAGGAAAAGATTAGCCTTCGCGCACTTGAACTGACTTTCCGGCTAAGTACTCCTCAAGTTAATGGCTCACAAACCGCCTCAATCTTTTCTAATCTTAATTAGCCTTGTTTCTTTGAATTGTTAATTTATATTACGTGTTTTTTCTACTACAGTATAATTCTGAAGATTCCGGCTTTCTTTTAAGGCGGGGGTTAACATGAAGGCCATATTTTTGCTGGGTATTATGGTTTGAATGCAAATATCTCGTTCACGTTTCAAGCAGTGAAAAATCTCTCTGCTCATTTCACATAGCTACGTTTTGGGCTGTTTTGTAAATTTTTTGGTGAATTTTGGGTATATTTGGGAATAAATAGTTTTTCTCAAAGGATTAGTAAAATGTATGGAAATAGGAAATTTTGAAGATTTGATGTTGTTTNTTTCCAGCTCTTTTATTCCCAGCGTTTGACACTTTCTCATTAGAATGCGACTGGGAGTCAGCCAACGTCCCTCCCTTTTTGTGCAAGCGCGAGTGCAAGTCAACCGTTAAGTCTGCATTTTCCGCTTTCTCCAAGACTGTCAACTGAAGGAAATCATCGTTGCAAAGTCCCACCCTCACCGGTCCACCCGCACGAGGAGCCTGCGACACGTCTTCGATGCGACTTACTTTAAATAAGAGGTGAAAAGCGCTTTGCTTCCCTCGTGGGAGGCATTTCTTAGGTTCGCACGAGGCCTAGCCTCGTTTTGGTGCTAAACTTATTTTCGTCTTTTAATGCTATGAAATTGCTGTTTTCATTTCTTAACTTGACAGACGTGTTAAACTCACGATTTTCTTCACATCTATTAGCTTGACAGTAGCCACAGCTTGAATAACCTGAAAATCTTTTTCTTAAGGCGGGGGTTAACATGAAGACCGTATTTTTGCTGGGTATTATGGTTTGGATGCAAATATCTCGTTCACGTTTCAAGCAGTGAAAAATCTCTCTGCTCATTTCACATAGCTACGTTTTGGGCTGTTTTGTAAATTTTTTGGTGATTTTTGGGTATATTTGGGGATAAATAGTTTTTCTCAAAGGTTTAGTAAAATTTGTGGAAATAGAAAATTTTGAAGATTTGATGTTGTTTTAAAATTAGAATTTGAAGTTAGAAATTGGTGGACGTACACCAAACAGTTGCCCACCAACCTGGGGTGCCGTTTTGGGGCAATCAACTGTCTGGTGGTGTTCCAAACCCCTTTTTTTCCTTTTAATCTCTCTTTAAACTTCCTAAAATTTCACTTAAATTTATGTGTACCCCCGCCTTAAGAGCAAATGCCCACAAAAATCAAACAAAATCAAATTTCTTCGGCAACGCTAGAAAACTCAAATTCGCTCGTCTTTTGCATATAGCCAGCCCCTAGCAAGAGTCCAAACGGGCTGTAGTTTTTTCCTTGAAATAGTTTTGTCTTTCCGAGAAAAGCGACATTTACGATTTATCTTTCAGACTCAATTTCATGCAATTTAGCGAGTCCCAACTGCGCTGAAAATCGACCATTTTCATTCGATTCGCATTTCGCAACTATTGAGCGCAGAAAAGTTGTAATACAACCAGCTTATTGCAGAACAATTCCTTGTCTAAAAAAGGACGATTTCAAGAACATTGGATCTAATTACTAGCGGTAAACAAAACCAGAGTGTTCTCCAAAATTGAGTCAGTCAGTCGGTGAAAAGAACTTTCATTTTGACCATGTGCCATGTCTCGGAATTCCAAAAGATTTTAGGTTCTAACTATACTAGGATAGGTCTNGTTTTGGGCTGTTTTGTAAATTTTTTGGTGATTTTTGGGTATATTTGGGAATAAATAGTTTTTCTCAAAGGATTAGTAAAATTTATGGAATAGAAAATTTTGAAGATTTGATGTTGTTTTAAAATTAGAATTTGAAGGTAGAAATTGGTAGACGTACACCAAACAGTTGCCCACGAACCCGGGATGCCCTTTTGGGGGCAATCAACTGTCTGGTGGTGTT